TCGTTTACTCTATATTCATTTGGGTCTATCATTTGTTGCTTGTGTTCTAACATTCTTATATTTTCCTGCACATCCACCAAGTCCTCCATCACCTGCTGCTGAACAACTTTCTTCTGCAATTAATGATGAAAATAGTTCTTGGAAAAGTCATATGAAAAATATTTGGCAATGTTTAAAAACACCTTCATTTTTACTTATTTGTAATGCAGGTAGTCTTTCATATGGAATATTTAATGTTTGGGTTGGTCTTTACGATTTAATTCTGAAGTCTCAGGGTTATTCTGAAATTCAAACAGGTTGGTTTAGTTTTGGTTCATCTTTATCTGGTAATATTGGTGGTCTTGTTTTTGCTGCTCTTGCTGATACACGTCCCTTTCGTCGTTCATTTAAATTACTTCTTACTATTGCTTCTATCTGCTGTTTTATATCACTTGTTTGGTTTATATTAATGGTTCCTACATATTTCTACGATCAATTAATATTGCCATCCAGCGCCGTAACAATAGGTTTATCACTTTCATTAGCTGGTTTATTTCAAGGTGCTGGATTACCATTGTTTTATGAAGCTCTTGCTGAAGTTATGTTTCCTTTACCTGAATCATTATCGGCATCAATACTTGTTCAATGGAGTAATATCATTAGTCTTATATTATTATTTATTGCACCTAATCAAGGTAAACTTGTCAATTTAATAGTACTAATAACTAGTGCTATCTCGACAATAATGATATTATGTGCACGATTTACATATAAAAGACGTGATGAAGACGAAAAGATTCAAAGCATAAAACATATCTCAGATCATTCTCAAGATGATGTTATCAATCAAACATAATATAGAACATTTTCGAACGATATTATCTTAATATTAAAGTTTATTTTTGAATAAAATTAACTATTCTCTATACTTGCTGTATCTATCTCAATCTGTCAGGCTGAATTTTTCACCATTTTCTGAGTATGGGTGCAAGTTGAAGATAACACTCACACTCTCAAGATTTCTTTATATATTCTCTTAAATAAATCAAACATGACGTCTTTTAAAAATAAAATATTGTTCTTTTGTTTCTGTTGCAAAGTTTTCATTGCGCAACATTGTCGAGTATTTGCTCTTATATGATTTTTTTTTCTTGTTTGCATAATCATTCCTTTTCTCTGCACTTCGACTTGAATATTTGATTTTGATTGTATGCAATTGTGAGAGAAACAAATTCTAAGGTATATACAACAATACGCAGTATCTCCAGCGATCTCATTTATTTTCAGTGGCAGATCAGATCAATGTCTCTATTAAATAAATGTGAAAACTTCGGATTGTATCCGAGAGTTAAGTGTACTGCAAAAAGTGTATATGGTAATCATAGGAAAATATCAGTATTTTTGTAATAACTCGGGAATGGCTCGTCCAGTTAGGCTCAACTTCGAACTCGACCGAGATCTACATGAGACTGAATTGTGTACAAAATTTCAGCTCAATCGGACTATTCTTTCAAACGTTATCGTGTATACAGACGGCTGGACACACAGACCGATTCTAGAAGTGTACTCACTTTTTGAGTACACAAAAAAGAGATTAAGACAAATTCGTTTTGCCATTGTGAAGTTTGTTACAAGCATTACAAGATTCGTCCTTGCAGAATGTTTTGTGACTTCGGTGGGCGATCAAAAACTCTTTTAAAAGGCTGGAGAGTTTAACAGAAACTATTTATATTTATCGGATTAATAGAACATGACGAGCTGCATCCAATCAAGCTTGGACGAACTTTCGAGCTCCTAAAGTTCTCGATATAATTAACAAATAGTATGTCAAAAACGTAACATCGTTGCGCTCGAATAAATCGATATATCTTGCAAAGCATCTTGCTCAGTCCTACCAGGTCACCTTGGGGGTGAGTGTGAATGTCAGTTCTTCAACCAGTCACACTCACACCCTCAAGAAATTCAGTTGTAGTACAAGACTACGATTTTACTAGTTACCATTTCTAGAAACTGAAACCAGATGATACGGGGCTAGATGTAAGAATCTTACATCTAAAATAATATATTTGTCATCCACTATAAAGAAGATACCAAAGATGCAAACGTTTCTGAAAAATAAATTTCAAAATATCGCTTCAAGTGGAAAACGAGAGCTGATGAGAATTGGTCTTTTCAATATTGTTTATTTGGCAACAATAAAAACTGTTTAATCGAATAAAATGTGCGCTTCTTACGCATAAAAACATCATCGCTTTCGTTTCTGTTCGCACGAGTAAACTAAAAATGAAAAAGATCATTGAATTTTGCTCACACACGCATTCTTTCTGTGCTTGTCCAAGGTTAACGCAGGCGTGAGTTTGAATTTGTGTTAGAGATTGCTGCCGAAGAAGGCTAAATTTTCAGTGCTCCTGACGAAAAAACTGTATGCTTGCTGAAGACCATGTTGAGTTATGAATATCTTGGAAACAGTTCCGCGTTCTAGCTTATCGCTGTACGAGTAGTGTATTTTCACAGTATTTTTCGCTCCAATACCATAATTTTTCTTATGAATATTAGCAAAACTTACGATCAGAAAAGATTGTTTTCTGTTCACTAACAAAGAAAACAGTGGATTGAATATTTGTATTCTTCAAAAAAAGGAAGGAACAAGAATCCATTAGTGTCTTAATGATGGTAAAATATATACTCCTCTTTAATATATAGATCTTATAATATACATTGTGCTGTATTGATAGGAAAAAGAAAATTGTTGAATTCTATGATGTCATCGTAGCTTGATACAAGATATATTGACTGATCGTCAACTCATTTTTTTTCTATTCTTCTGCACGTTAGAAAGAAATTATGACTACAGTTTTTTTTGTTATTATTTTAATTTTTTCAACATCATGTGGTATAACTAAATAAATATCAAGACCACAGATAATATCGAATCACCAAACATTTGGTGAGTGGTGTTACAATGGTAGAATTCTATCATCAGATCTCTGAATGTGATTATATATTCTTTTCTTTCTTCTTAGATTTAATGAATATTTTTGATTGTTTTTACTCAATAAATCAATGAAACATTCCATTCGTGTTATATCCTGTGTATGTATACTTGTTTGCATCACTTATATATGGTATATAACTAATCAACATGCACCACCTGTCGATCAACTGACGTGTACATGGCCAGTTAGTTTATTCAACCAAACAGTAATAGGTACGTTAAAAATGACGATAGAATATATTTTTGGAGTTAAATAAGATATTTCCAGATAATAAATCTTCAGAAGAATGCCATTGGAAATTTGATCATTATGTAGCCAGTGGTTGGGAACGTTTTTGGTATGATAATATTGATGCATTGCAAAAAAATGTTTGTGTAACCTTGTCGAAAGCTGATCAAATGAACAAAAGTATTCGATTGATAGAACGCATTACTATTCTTCAACAATCGATTTTCAATAAATCATCGATATCAAAGGATGCTAACGAACTCTTTTCACAAATGTTCTATCGATTGGAATGTTCATCTGGTCGTTCACTTTTAGTTGCTCAACAAATCGAACCGTTAGTTGGTCTTCTTCGTGATCCGTTAACTATCTGTCCAGGTTTTAATCAGACAATTCCATTACACTTGATTCAAAATGAAGAAGATGATATGCAATCAAAACGATTTATTCTTCTTGCACCATCTGCTCCGTATGTTAACTTTCCTCCGACAGGATCTCAACCACCATGGATTTCTCAAAAGCATAGACGAAAGTATCTTTGCGATATTGGTAGTTCATATTTTAATGGAAACAGTGCACTTAACAAAAGAGGATCAGCAACAAGTGCATGTTGGTTCTATGAATATTTTCGAAAGAGTTCTCTACAGTTTGATCGAATCATTGCGTTTGAAGATAGTGAGCTCTTACCAAAAACTGCTTGGCAACAATTACCTGATGATCTCGTAACAGTGTACACTTTGATCAATGTTGCTGTAGAGACTTCAGGTAAATTTAATCCTTTGAAAATGCTTCAGTCATTGGCTCAACCTGAAGATTATGTTCTTTTTAAATTGGATATCGATGCCTTCTATTTAGAAATGAAATTTATTGAACAAATAATTGAAAATAAACTTTTACATTCATTAATCGATGAATTATTCTTTGAAATGCATGTTTCTGTCAACGAAATGTTACCTTACTGGGAACTTACCGTCGGACCAGCTCATCTCAATGATTCGTATGTTCTCTTTACAAAACTACGTCAATTAGGCATTCGTATGCATTCATGGCCATAACATTGACTCTTGTTATGTTCAATATGGTTTTCGAGGATTTGAATGAATTTATTGTAAATCACACAAGACGGTGGTACATAATAAAGTAGAAGATCGTATGATAACTATGCCACATAAAAATGCGGGTTTTATATGTATATATGGGAAATGACTGTCTAGGTAGAGCGAGAGATACATAGAAGATATCACAGCTCTAATAAGAGATTTAGTGGCTGTGAGACTGAAACCCGCAGAGCATCCACACCCTCAAATTGAAGTAAATATTTATATGGTAATATTCTGGATTCATATATAGAACAATTGAGTCTAACTTCCTATTGACTCAGATCCAAAAGTAGTCGACCTACATGTTTTGAAAATTCTCGATTCTTTTCATGAAAACGTCTCTTAACCGTTTATAGACAAAAATATATTACCGACAATACATTAAAATACATTAAAATGAAAAGCACATAAGATTATCTGGAAATACGTTATAAAAGGATTTCCGTAGAAAATTTCATTATGGCATATGCACATTATCTAAGAATGCATGAAAACACATTGCATGTCAAGAAATTATAAAAATATTACGAAAGATGAACTCGTTTGAAAAGATAATTTGAAAGGCATCGCGTGATATATTTATTTTTGCCTTATAAATTCTTTCATTTCTTTACTAATATTGATAAAATTATTAAAAAAACTGTTAAAATATTTCTTATATGTATTTTTGATATTATCTTCATTTCTAAACATTAAAAATTCTTGTTAATTTGTTTTATTTAAATAATTATCTACTCTTACTAATCACAATATGTTTATACTGTAATTATTGAAATATATCATATAATTAAGAACAGTTTCTGTCACATAACATATATTTAACATAACTAATTACGAATATCTCTCTTTTCTCATTTATCTTGATAGTTTTACAATTATATAATCTTATTTGAAAAGATGTGAATGAAAATGCACAAGCTAATCACGCGAGTGTTGAACAGGAAAGAGCAAGCTCAAACGAGCAAGAATGGAACTATTGAGAATGAAAGACTGAGCATGAATAGTTAACTGCATCGAATAATCAACACAAGTAACGAACATATCGAATGAGTGACATAGATTTATTTCAGTTTAGTTGAATACTGAAAAGCAATTGTTATGGTATATATCTACGTTGTGTGAAAAGGATTCTAAGTATATATGTTTGTCAGTTTAGCCAGGGTCGGGTGAATCCGAGTCATTTAATGAAAAAAAAATGTTTTCTTTGCTTTTATAAATAGATCACAAATTATACGATTAAATTTTTTCGCTCATTAGTAACTTTTATCCTAGTTGAATAGATTATAACCAAAGAGTTTTTTAAAAGCTTTTTCTGGTTAAGTATTTAAATGACCGTGAACGACAACCTGTATGTTCAGGTATTTGTTTATAAAAGAAATGACCTTTTCATTATTTTAGTATGAAACTGTATACATGATTTACTTTTTTGTGTATGAAAACTAGGAATCGAATTATATCATATAAACTCATCATTGATATTTTTCATTGAAATAAACACGTTATAAAAAATAGAAAAAGAATATCATGGTTCGCTCTATTTATAGAAATCTAGATTAAAATTATCAGAAATTTGGAGAACACAAGAGATAGGGAGAAAAACTGAAAAATTTGATCGAACTGATAGATTTCGTACAGCTAGAGAGCGTCAGTATTTATACTTATCGAATAAGGAGAATCTAAACTCATCAGTATTTGATGATTTAAAGTTATTCAAAAAATAATGATGGTTATTTATTGAATATATTCATTGCTTGTGCTTGTTTTTGCTCGTATTTATAACTTTCATTAATCTGAATAGACAGAATTTGAGGACAAACATGAAAAGATAAAAAAAACTCCTGGAATAAATTAACAAAAAAATAAAAATACATCTGCTTTGTATAATGCGATGCTAATGCACGAATACTCTCGTTTAATGAACGTTATTTGCCTACGCTTCATTACTTTTTTTCCTTAATAAACAAAGAATAAACATTTTTCTTTGTGCACAATAACAGTTTCATCACATCTGCCGCTCAGCGTCGATTAGAACGTTTAAAAGTTTTTCTCTTGTTCTCAACTTTTAATACGTTAACGTATATAGAGTAGTAGATCTTATAAACATGTTCTGGTGGGCGATTCCTCTTGAATTACTCATACTCGCGTTTAGCTTTATTGGTTTGATCAGTAGTATTGTATTTATATTAGTCGTTGTTATTCATCGTGAATTTCGTCAAAATCTCATTTTACTTCTCGCAATCAATTTGAGTATTGGAGGACTTATTACCTGTGTTTCAATGATATCTCAAGCTTTGTACATGATAATGCAATCTGAACAAGATATGCTTTGTCCGTTTCGCAGTTATTTCTATACAGCTGGAGGTTTATACATTTTCCAAGCAGCCTTGCTACAAACTTTACATCGACTGTTCATTACCGTTTTTGCTCATCGTCGATATTGGCAGAACCGGTGTTTATTCTTATCGTTAGCTTTGGCACAATTGTCACTTTGTCTATTAGCATTATTACCCTTGCTACTGGGTAATAGATTTCCATATTTTCCTAGTGCGAAAGCGTGTTACATTGCTTTAAATGACATTTTCGATGTTCTGTATCCAGCAATCTGTTTTTACTTTGTTCCATTGATTCTTCAATCGGGCTTGTCCTACTGGATTCTTCAACATGTCGCTCGCGAGACTCGAGCTGGTCGAGCGGGAATGAATATCCACAAACGCATTCACAAAGAGCGACGAGTGTTAGCTCGCGTAGCTCTACCAGTTATTCTATTGCTTAGTGTTGGACTCATTTTTTTTGTCTTCTTTTTTGGTACAATATTAACTAATACACAATGGGAAGCTCCACCTTATGCACTTCATCTTAGTTTTCTGGGCAGTTCAGCTGCAACTGGAGCATCCATGATGGCTAATCTTTTTCTGTATCGAGAAGTGAAGAAAAATATTTGGTTATACCTACGATGTTTATGGATACATCATGAACAAAATAGAATCCATATTCTCGGTCATGCATAATGCAATAGTCTATCGGATACTTAACTTTAAATTCGTATGGGTGTGCGTGTAGATTTATCTTTTCTTTATTCACACCCACACTCGCACACGTACATCGTTGAAAGTTTCCATTTGAAAAAATGTATGTATGAAACGATTGTTTTTTTCATCAGTTCTTTTGTGTTGCTATGTGGATTTTATAAAATGATATTCATATAATTATTCTTTATTGAAAACTTAATAAATCTATTTATTTGATTTATTGCATAATTTTTCAATCAGTTTGAACAAATAAGATATTTTTATTGTTTGTCTTATATCGAATGGACAGATAAAACAAAATACATCTTACGTTTCGTCTTAAGTGAAAGAAATTCGTTTCATAGCAACAAAAAACTTTGTTTATTATTATATTTTAAGTAAAGAAAAGAAAGAAAATAGGATTGAGTAAAATTCATACAATGAATGAGAATATAAATCATTTAAATCAAACAATAATAAATTTTGAAGGTCTGGGATGGATGTGGGTGAATTTAAGTTGAAGATAATATCCAAATCCACACCCACAATTTGTTCGAAAAATGTATAAAAATTAAATAGATCTGTTGATTGATTCTTATACTCAAGTCAACAATATTGTGTAACGGAAATCTGATGACTGAACTAGTATAGACCTCTCGCACATTTATCAATAAGATAAACATGATTGTGAGATAAAAAATCAATGAATATGATAGATAAAGACTTAACAGTTTTCCTATGAACACTAATCGAGTTGAAATCATCATACGGATCAAATTGCAGTTCGAAAATCTAAAGTAACACATAATCTTCCAAATAAAACAGATTTATTAAAAATTTAAGAGCTATGCTAAATTTCTATAGAACAAAAGAATCTCATAAGAGTCTTTCTCTGAATCAAATTGAGTGGGTGAGCATGTAATCTCTTACGTATGTAGTATTACTTAACCACATCATACCTTTCAACTTGTCTACAAGACATAAGGAATTGATGTACGCTGTTTACGATTTCTTATGTGTTAGTTTTTTCTGTTTATCTGGCTTGATTATGTATTCAAGCCTCTACAAGAAACAATTTAGCAACTAAATATGTTGCCGGAATACTCGAATATGCTACTAACTCTACTTACATCGAATTTTATTTATTCTGATGATAAAAAGCGTACATTAAAGAGATGCTCATATTGCGGATTGTAAAGATTTTCGCGAGCCGCCATGGTTGAGTGGTTACGTTGTTCGACACGTATCCACAAGGTACTGTGTTGAAACCTCAGTAACATCATCCATGGAATGACCCTGGACAAGTCACTAACGGCTAAGTTGTCTCAAATGACTCATTCCACATGAGTCATTCATACTGGTTATCTTTAATCAGTATGTTGGACGGAAGAGGGTGCAGATACCGCCGTCTGTAAAAAGAAAAAGACGACAGAACCCGGCTGCATGTGGAAAACTCTAATAATAACCGCGGCCGGCCCCTAAGGGCGATAAGCCTATGGGACGTTATTATTATATTATTAAAGATTTTCGCACATTGGATCTTCGAGTATATTTTGATTTTTAATAAAACATATCTATAGATTCAAAAACAATATGCATAATATATTCCTTTATGATGGATCACCCATTAAATACCATTTATTATTTTGTTTGCAATAAATTCATATGAAAGTTCGACATTTCTCACGTAATTGTTTTTGCTTTCGTCATCTCGCTCGAATTTCATTTTAGAATTTTTTTTGTTGAATAGACATGAAGGTCGACATTGCGTGTATGTGTGGATTTGTTTTGAAAATATGTTTCTTTTTCTATTGTGTTGGTGTGTTTATGTAGATGCTGTTAAAATAAGTTATAAACATCATGAAACAGAATTAAAAGCTCTGTGTTTTGTTAAATAAAGTTTGACGTCAGCACCTTGTCTATGGAAAAGAAAAGGAGCTTAACATATTGTGCCATTTCAAGCAGTACAATTTTCTTTTTCGTTTGTCTGTATATGTGGTTCATAGTGTGGGTGTAGGTGTGGGTGTCTCAATGTATAAATTGGCGATTTTTTCTTTGTTGTAATCATTTATTGTTGTTTAACAAAATACAAAGCTTATTTATCATTTCAATCTTTTTCCAAGATCATGCCACCAAAACCCGCCCCCAATCCATCTATTTGTTTTGCACGCTTAGGCAGCATTGATGCTATTGAACAAGAAAAACAAACACAAGATAAATTAGTTGTTCTTCTTCTTAATATCGAGTAAGTTAAATCGAAAAAAAATTAAATTAAATTTATCTATTTTTATTAAAAGAAATCCTGAAAGAGCAAGTCTTGAATATCGAATGGTGAATTGGGGTCAAAATTTTGAACATAGTCATCCAGTGAAATTTTGTAAATATGTTTATACACCAGACGATCCTGAAGCAGCAGCAAATGTCACCAAGACACTCAATATTAATCATCAATCAGCAGTTATTTTTTTAAATAATGGAAAAGAACTTGATCGTATAACTGATCTCAATGAATCAGATCCTAATCGATCACATCCACTTGAAACCGATAAAATCGATCAAGATGAACAACGAGTCAAAGACAAAACCATTCAATTATGTGATAATGTCGGTAAATGATTTCAAATCAAGAAAACTCTTTTATTATATCCAAATGAACTTATTTTACTTTTTTATCTCGAATTCTTTTATTTCTTTTTTAAATAAAACTCCTTTCTTCTTCTTCGTCGAATACTTCTTATTGTAACTCGTACATCAAGACAATACTATGTCTCTCTTGTATATATATTGGAAAATTATGATATTCTGATCTATACATTCATTTCATCTATAAATGCTTTATAAAGATAAGTTGTGTACAACTTAAAAAAGAAAAATATTTTCTTTCACTACACTTTTATTGAGGAGCAACAGAGGTAAACATTTATTCCATTACTTTGGTAACATTTGCTGTTTTGCAATCGAACTATTGTTGCTTAGAATATTTAATCTTGAAATTTTTCACAAGAAACAAATTCTAGAGTCCGATGAGAGAATATCTCAATCTGTTCAAATGCTGACACATATTCGTTAATGAGTCAAATATAATGCTTCTTGAATCATTGAATTGTGTAGAACTGTTACCAGTTGTACCATTATTAACAATGATGGTACCTATTTGATTATTATACAAAACATTTTCACTTGTTCACCATCTGAATTAACAACAAACATATTCAAACAGCTACTGAATTCTACACACCTCGTATGTCGGCTATGAAAATGTCTGACTTATTGTCTAATGTCTCTAATTATTTGTTATATATGAATAAATAAAGATCTTGACTAGAATTCAATTAATTAGAATGATAGTTATAGCATTTTTTGACAATTTCCATAAAACTGAGTTCATTATTTCATTCTCGAAATAGAATATCAATCATGAAAATCGAAAAATAAATCAATAACACTTGTTATTTGTATTGAATCAAATGTAATTATCCCTATTGTGTTGCAACAATAGCCATCTGATATACTTAAAAACAAACGACAATATTTTAGTTCGATTCATATGAGAGAGTTATAATCAATAATTCTGTTCAATAGCTTATTTATATGGATTGACTGATGAAATTGATTCTGTTCTTGAACAAATAATCTCAACATGAGAGAATAAGATTGGGGAATTTTTTGCTTATAACTGAACTCGTCTCAGCCTACAAATAATGTTTATGTAGTTTTTGATATGTTACAAAATGAACTGACATGTATTTCTGTACAGATATAGTTATACTTTCTGTTGTCGACAATAGTTAAAATTGTATTTGTGTTATAATAACTCAAACAGACCAGCTTTCAGATATTCCAATCTTCGTGATTGTTTTTTTTCAGAAAGATATTATATATCAAAGAAATTAAGGTTGTACGACAAGTGTAAAACTGAGCAAGAATTTGATTGTGACTAGTATAGTCACTGTTCACATCTACCTTCTCGTCTAGAATCTTAGTAAAAAATCGAAAATTATATAAGATAGTAAATATCTAATTTGTCGTTGTCTAATCAGATATCATAGATGAAATATTTAGTGAGAGTTAGTTATAATTTCATATTTACCATAATCTCTCTATGACAAAGAAAACATTTTTTTTAAATTAGTTATACGATAATCGAAATTTTGTTCAATATTCATTTCAAGTATCTGAAAAAGTTTTTGAAAATCCTATCTATTTGAAATTAAAATTAAAGATTTTTATCACGTTTTTATAAAAAGTTATTTACAAAAATTATTAACAAATCTCCTCATTTGAAGTCAATCATAACTAACTCAATTTCGCAAAAAATGTTCAGTACTGATATCTGTAATGTAAGATCGACATTGTATTGATAAGATTAATCACTATTACAGAGTATATGTAGTATAAAACTAATAAAAACTACACAATACAATAAAATAAAATCCTCTAACATACAACATCCGTCTCCACACATTGTCTTATTTCAATTTATGGTCCTATTTGAACCTTGTTATATACAGTAATTATTCTTACTTCTTCTCATCGAAATAAAAAAGAATAAATGTGTACAAATCGTGCTTTTGAAAGAGGAATTATATAATATTATTTAAATGTTTGCTCCGTCAAAATCACTACAAACAAAACGGAAGCTAACAACTAATTTTTCTTCTCTTTTCTAAACAAACTAATATGAATACTGATGCATATATGAACTAGTTTATATTGTTTATAGAAATAAAACGTTACTTTATTTAGTTTGATGTTGTATTAAATCATACTTATTACATAGTGATACTTTTCTACGACTTATTGATATAATAAGAAAGAAAAAAACTCAATGGAGCACTTAATAAATTTAACAGTAAAGTAGAGTTCACAATTCACTCGTGGCATCGTAGAACACATTGCTCAGTTACACAAAAAATAAATAAAATTACACTTTCAATGTATATATAATCAATGAGATATCTATATGAATTAAGAATACAACTATTACAACATTCGAGATAAAAATAAAGAACCAAAAATATTTTTCTATTGATTTCAGTCAGAGTTAGAAAGGCATCACAATTTTACATGAATTTTGGAATGATTATGATGTTCATATAGGTAAAATTTTTCTTTATTTTAATAATCAGTTGTATAGATTGTGATCAGATCTCGAAGATGTCACTATCAAGACTTCGGATGAGATACAATGGCAAGCTTTCAGAATCATTTTCATCAGATAACAGAAAAAAATTTTTTTAATTTCTCAAGCAACTAAATATCATATAATCATTACAACCTGATAAAATCGATTGTTTTCACATAAATCGATAAAATGTTAGCTACTGATCATGAAATCCTACTTTTTAGTCTCAGCATATGCTTTCTTCTCAACGAAAAAAACGAAATACCTGAAGGGTGTCATTTTCTTTTTTGAAATGTGTAGAATTAAAAACTAAGTACAGAGAATTTGGTGCATATGACTTTCGAGCCACATCGCGTACATGACATATAGGTCGATTTTGTAAATCTAATTACTGTTCATTTCAAAAAAAGATGGATAAGTTATTTTCGAACGATCCAATAATGAGCTACAAAATTATGTCGAGATTTTATTCCTAACTATATCTCCTAGAAACAACGCTAAAAATGAAAAATTTTGTGGTATATGTCAATCTATTTGAGAGTTACTCCAAAACTCCTCATCCAGTTTTCTTAATTTTCTTTTAGTTAAAAATGAGTCGTGGTTCTGGATAAAAATTTGATATATTGAATTGATTTCTTTTTTGTTCTTTTCTTTTAATATAAAAAAAACTGTTTACTTTTGATAAATGAGAAAAAAAGAAATTTGAAAAAAAAAGTTCGATCGATGTCAGTTAATGTACATTTAAAGAAAAGAGAAGAAAAAAAATTGGTTGTCATCGTTTTCAGTCACTTGAATAGACACAACAAACAAAATGTTAATAATTGATTGTTAACAACCATACGAATAGTCTTGAATATTCCTAACTAGATTCAATTCTAAATGTCATTAATTTCATCACCATTTTATATTGGATCAAATGATAAACATACAACGATTTCATTTCATGATAAAGTAACAACATTACCAAGAATTGAACATCCATCAAAATTTATTAATAATGATGATAAATATTCATTAGATATTCGAGGAAAATCCTCCGAATATAATCGATCATCATCAACTGCTCAAAATTATTCGAATGGTGAAGATATACCAGAGAATATTAATGTTATTTATGGATTAGATAGAGACAAAGTTCGTTTACCGATTTTTGGTAAATTTAGTTTATATAAATTTCGATTTATTTATTTGTTTATTTTTCTATTCGAATAAAATGAAGGTCGTCGCCCATCAAGTATCTCATCAACAACATCTTCGATTGAAAGAAGAAAATCAAGTTCAGTAAATGGAACTTTTGATGTCAATGAACTTGAATCAATCTTAAAAGAAAAAGTTCGTTTACAATTAAATGATATTCGAACAAAATTTCGTCATTCAATTGATTTTGATAATAATGGAAAAATCTCTTATCAAGCATTAAAACATATTATTGCTTCTATATTTGGTGTTCAAAGACAAATTTCACCGAATCAAATTGATAAATTATTAGAAAAACTTCATTTAAAAAATTTAACTAAAATAAGGTTTCATTCAAGAAGAATTTTAATAAAAAATAGTTTTTTTTTCTTTTTTAAAAATTTAGTTTCGATGAATTTGTTAATTCATTTTCATTTAATGAAGAAAGAAGTCAATCAGCATTAAAAATTCGTGAATCATCATCTCAACCTTATTTTACAAAACGAACAGCTGCACAAATGTTTCTTATTCTTAAAGAAAAAGCTCGTACTAAGTTAGATTTGGTTTTATATGAAGATAAAATAAAACGAAATTTATTTTTATTTTAGAAATAAAGAATTAATTCATTTTTGTCCATTATTAGATGGTGGTCCATCTTCGAAAATCTTTAAAAGTCAATTATGTAATATTATTGTTGATATGGGTTATAAAATGAATGACAAAGAATTTGATAAATTATGGAATAAATTTGATGTTGATGGATTTTATGTAATTACTTCAGAAATATTTGTTCAACTTTTAACAAATGAAGAAAATCTCAAAGAAAATCGATCAACAATAAGAAGTGAAGCACAAGATCAACAATCAGCTATATTAAAATCATCATTTATGCAATCATCAATATTCGATTCACAATCTGATTTATCTTCGACAGATAATTCACAGAAACTATTTGATCATAAACGGATTGAAAAATGGTTTAATACAAAACTTCCAAAATGTATTTGGGAAATTGAAAGTGATTTTAAAAAATTAGATACAACAAATACTGGAAATGTAAGATAAAAGAGATTTTTAGAAAATTAATTTTCATTTATTTTTTTCTTCTCTTTAAGATTACAAGTGAAGAATTACTAAAAGAATTAAAAGAATTTGGATTATTTATTGAAGATTATCTTGTTGAATCATTTTTAAAATATTTAAATATTCGTTTTCAATCAATAGATAAATCAATTTCTTATAAAGATATTATCGAGAGATTTAAAGATAAACTTCAAATAATTAATAATCGAATCAAAGCTTTAAATCCATTGTTTGTTTATTCATTCTATTTTTAAATAATTTATTTTATTTTATTTTCTATAATTTAGATTGGAAGAAGAAGAAATTATTGATGAAACAGCATTAGATAAACAAGTGAAATATGTTATAGCACAAAATTATGAGAAAATTAAAGATAAAATGAATAATTTTGATAAAGATCAGAATGGAACAATAAATAAACATGAAATGAAAATCTTAATTGAAGATATTCTTGAATTTCCTTTAAGACCTGATGAATATCGACAATTATATAAACAATTTCCAGTTGATTCATATGGTTCGGTTTTATATAAAGATTATTTAAAACAAATTAATGATCAACCCACACCTTCACAACAACAACAACAATCATCAAAGTTTATTTTCTTATTTTTATTTTTAATTTTATTTAATTTCTTTTAGTCAAACAATTCCTCAATGGGATTATATGAGATCAAGTAATATTCGTGATAGTCTCAAACAAAATATTCTTCAAGATAAAAAACAAGATAAAAATGAAAATAATCAACAAAATCCAAGATCAATTCAACAAGTTTGTTTTTCTTCTTTCGTTCTTTATTTCTTTTCTTAAAAATAATTTCTTTAAAGTTAAATGAAATAGTTAAAACAATCGTTCGAACACGTTCAAAAGATATTGAAGATCAATTTAAAATAATCGATCGAAAATCTTATGGAGAATTAACACAAGATTATTTATTTGAATTATTTCAACGGTTTTTCTTTTCAATTTTTCGATTCTCTCATAAATTTTCTTTTCTTTTAGTCTTTCAGTTAAACCTGAAATAACACATAAAGAAATTGAATTGATTTGGTCTCAATGTCTTTTAAAACAAAATAAAACTTTAGATTTTCATCAATTTTTACGTCAATTTGGCTATTCGAAAGAATCAGCACATTATCCAAATGCAAAAGAAAATCCTCCGAAACGAGGTGATTCCGATTGTTTATTAACATCAAATAAATTATATGGTGATTCTATTCTTACACATGAAAGTACACGACAATTTATTAAATCAAATTGGAATAAAATTCGTCAAGAATTTATTCAAATTGATCCATATAAAACTGGTTTTATTCAACAAGAAGAATTTGATGAAATTTTAACTGATGTTTGTCCAGCTATGAATCAACAAGATCTTCAAATATTAAAAAATAAATTTCAAACGACAAATGATTCAAGGTAATTCTTAGATTTGTAATTTTAAAAGAAAAATTTATTCTTTTTTTTTATATAAAAATCAAAGAATAAATTATGTTCAATTTTTACAATTCTATGCTCCAAATATTGAACTAACGAATGAACCTGAGAAAATAACACGAAAATCATTGATGACTAAACCTATGGATAATTACAGTAGTCAAAAATCATTGAATCAATTATCAACTATCGATGATGTTTCAATTATACTTCGACGAAAAGTAAATTTTTATTTTTCGATATTTTTCTAAAAACTAATCAAATAATTTTGTTAGTTATCTCATTTATATAAACATATTCGACGATCATTTAAACGAGATGATGTAACGAATTGTGGATCTGTTTCAATTCCAAATTTTAAACAAATTTTAAATGAATTTAAATGTTCTTTAAATGATGAACAATTTTATTTATTAATATCTCAACTTGATACAAATATGAATGGAACGATTAATTATAATTATTTTATGCAACAATTTATTAAAAATAAATAGACTTTTTTTTTATTAGAACAACTTTTCTTTTCAAATAAATAAAATTTTCTAACGATACGAAAAGTTAATCAAAGAGATAAACCGACAGAAGCTTAAAAAAATAAGAGGAAATTCAAGCTTCCGTGTTTTTATCTGGAACACATCGAGTGGAATACTATTATGAAAGAAATCGTGAAGCAGCATTTGAGATATTAATGTCAAGTGATGTTAGAAGAATTTGTTGATGATTTGTAACGTGATGAGAAAGATGAAATATCTATATTATTCTTGCTGTAGAATTTAGATAAGAAATAAGGGTGTGGAATTTATATAATATCTATCGACACTCACCCCTTCAAAATTAATAGATTTTTCTTTGACAGTATGGATATTATATTAATTCCACACCTCCATACCCTTAAGTGAGAAAATAACATGCTGTCACATAGATTCTTCGTTTGGATCATAGAAGAATCATTAGAACAACTCTAGAGAGCTTTTCATGATATATCTTTTGAAAATAAAATTCAAGATTATGTCAAATAGAAAAGATTGCAAAACTTTTGCCTCATTCGATAGTCTAGTCTGCTAAACAGTTTCAAAAGAGACATGTATGTATTTCTACGGTCTTAGTTTATGTTGAAACTTAAGTAATCGAAAATTCCTATCACTATGATTTTAAGTTTAAACAAAAAATAAATGTCGAAATCTCGGATTTAAGTTCGAGGGCTATGTATATTTAGAAAAAAGAAGAAATAATTGACAGTTGAGTGATTTTCATGAAATTGTCTAGACAAAAACATCCTTGAGGACACTAACAAACGTTTTCCTTACATCCTAAAGGTGTCTTCTTCTTTTTTATTTTATTTTTGGTACAAAAGTCAAATTTATAATTACGAAAAACTACGAACCAATTTTGACGAATCGATTGCAAAGGTCCTTTGCTGAATACTATTCATTGTGAGAGTGTCAATTATCATATTATAAGTTTAACCTTTGATTCCGAGACAAATAAACAGACATAGACTTATTCACCACATCCTCATTAGATATAAGAATAGATCGACTATAGAAATGTGAAGAAAAATATGGATTTGTATAATCTTCTGATGAAAAAATATATTGTGGTTCAAAACATCAAGTTGCCAAACAAATACACAAGTGAGAGGCGAAATTTTCTTCAATAATAAATAATATGATGTGTTATAGAAATGGATTATATTTTAATAATGAGGACAAAAAGTTAAATAGTAAAATAAAGAAGAAGTTTACTGGAAATTCATAATATATAAATATAAGAAAGATTATTAGAACAGATGTACTTCATCTTTTTCTTAATTTTAGGCTGAACGTCAGTGTTAATTTTGGGTACTTATAGTTCACAAATATTTATCGTCGATAATACACTTAACTCTATCCTCAAAATGTAAAACAAAAGGAAGCGATTTCTCTTGAGTTTTTCTTTTTCTTTCGATGTCTGTTTTATCGAGAAAGTGGCAAAAGAGAACAGATAAACATTAATCTATGAGAAGTGCGTAAAAGCATAGACGAAGAAAAACGAAAGCATCATCGTGACTAGGAATACAAATGAGAAAATATTCATGTTTGATGAGTTACAATCGGCAAAGTCTATGATCATGAATAAAGTGAGTAATGAGACATTCGAAGAAGTTAATGTCAAGAGTTGAACATCATCTTGACTATGTAAGTCAACAGAAAAACAGACCGATCTATTTTTTGATGAAGGTGGGTGGATCATGTCTAGCCCATACACACCCTCAACATACTTTACAACTAAAATGTGGAATACTCTCATATCTATGAGTCTCTTACATTGTCGTTTTTCAATATATTTTATACCTTTTTTTAAATTTGAAGTACTTTTAGTCGAAGATTCATTTTTTATTTTTTTGATCTTTAATTATTGACATGTTATATACATACAGAGGTGGTCAGTATAGAGAATAATTAACTCCATAAAAAAAAGTCTCTTTTTCTACAAAATGAATGATATTCGTCATTCAAAAAAGTTTGATGTTCAATGTTGAATAAAGAGATAAACTTATCTGAACTTTTATCGCATGATCTTTTTTATAGTTGAGTGAATAAATTTTGAATATTTTTCATTTCTATTAATGATGGAAATTAATAATTTATAATAATAATCGATAATATAAATATTAATGAGAAAAAATATTTCTTTGAGGAAAATATTCTCTAAAAATAAGTTTTATGAGAAAAGTCAAAAAACCATTAGAATTTCCCAAAGTATTTATTTCTATAATTAAGATTAACTTTTTTTAATGAAAATGATCAATATTCTATTAATCATCTTATTTACTTAAAAGTAAGAAATTGTTTTTTGAATAAATTTCTATTTTAATATTATAGAAGATTCATAGAATTAACTTTCGTTTTTTCTAAAATATGTTTTAGAAAAAGAAAATCTATTTGAATAATTCAATGAATAAATCCTATTAGGAATTTCAATTCGATTTTTATTTCTAAAACAAATTCATTTAATTAAATTAAGAAGAAAATTATTTTTCTGTAAGAATCTATTGATATTCTTTTCTATTTATTTATTGAATTATTAGAAAAGTAATTCTTATGACATTAATTTTTGTTTAACAATCGACATTCTTTTCTTTTCTTCTATAAGATTATTCAAACGATTAATAATATTATTTATTCGATAGAATAACATAATTCAGAAAAGATTTACAATCTTATTAAATATCTAAACAATACTTTCTTCTTATTTTACGATTAGACCATTGAGGATAACTAGAAATATAACTTAAATATTAATATCATCAAATTGGTGATATTATCCGAGTTTTTTTCCCAAACTTGTTTTCAATACAATAAAGAAAATAAATCTCGAAATTGTTCTATAAATAAAAGTAAATCTTTAATAAAATGAAGATAATGATAAGTAAAGTCTCAATTAAGAATGATTTAGTCTGATCTTTAAAGCTAATAATATGTGAAGAAAATTG